GATGTTCAACATACAAGAAAAATAGAAAAGGTGTTTGGATCGCTCCCTGTAGAACACCATAGTCGGCACGGAGGACAGAGGATTTCTTACCGTTCAACTTGGTGAAGTGAGTACGAACTGTAAAATAGTCACGTAACAGATTACACACCAGTGTGAACGGCATTTCCGGATAACAGGTTTAGTCACCTTGAACTATCCAGGCTTCCAAAGGCATTCGAATAATTCAGGAAGAGAAGCCATACGGATTTATATGCTTGGTCAAATGCAGAGGCTATAGAATGAACAAGATATGCCACTGCATCCAATGTGGAGCGCTGGGGTCTATACGCAAACCGGTAGATATCGTCTAGAGGAGCGGGTGAAAAATCCGCGGAATTAACAGTCTTACGAAAAATTTAAGAGAACAGATGTGCATGCGATTAGCCGATAATTTGAGATCCAGATTTCGGTACTGGAGTAATAATGGCCGCTCTCCGAATGTCCGGGATCACATCCGTACTTAGGCACTTGTTAAAGAGGTCTGTTAGAGGTAGCGTGAGAGAATCAGTACAATCCTTCAAAGCAAATGGCATATGGTATCATTTAGTTGATAACTTAGTGAACTTCCTCCCTCTAGCAGTGGAAAGCTGACCTTTGTTATTACCCAAAGACAAACCCAGTCAACGAGATCAATCCCGGCTGCTTTGCCCCGTGAAAGCAAGCTAGCAACTGCAGGTAAGTGTATTCATATCGCCATTTGAAAAACTGTCAGAATCACTACTCGATGTGAGAACCAGATATGCATACTTGTGAGCTCAGTTTAGTTTGGGTTCCCCCATCCTTTTGCAACCGTTATAGTTCTTAGCACAGGATGCAATTCTTCTCCCCACAAACAAGGCGGTCCACTCAAATTGGTAGGCGTGCCTCTTTCGTACTTTCAAACACCTTGACTTCCCTTTAGGACGCGCCTGATGGAAGGTGACAAGCACACTGCCACTGTGTATCTTCGCCGTCTTATCATGCATCTGTTGTTTGCGTGCTAAGCCTCAACATAGTCCCTGGATTTAGTTGCTTGGTCGTGTCAAAGGACTGCACAGCTGAAATGTTTCAAAATCTTTGGCGGTTTGGACTTCCCACACACATTAAAGTGTTCACTGTGACACTGTTTTTGCATTTTAAATGTCTTGCGATACGCGTTTCCGATCTGATGGATAATAGGCGAAAAAAGGCAAGTATCACCGTACGTATGTGTTAGCGTCGCTAGGCTCTATGGCGTAAGCCTGCTTTGTCCTTGGTGGATTAGCACTGACCTTGGGGACTGCGAAATAGTCGTGGGATTGAATAGCAGTATTTGGGTTTAGGGTAATAATGAGCTGCATAATTTGATGCCTATTAAGAATATATACGTGTTCAGCTCGTATTACAACATAGGCTGCATTTTATTGGATAGCTGAGTGTTGTGGTGGCTTACGAGGTTGTGGTTGAAACCATAGCAGAATTGGAGTCGGTCTCGGTTTACCAGTTTCTTTCCACATCTCAGCCTTGTTACTCTCCGACTTCAGAACAGAAGCAAATGAAGACGTAAGGCTACGCTTCAGAAATTACCTGCAATTATCCGTTTGGAACTGACCCCACATGGTCGCTCGATCGGTCTCAATACGGGCTTGTGGGGACCCCGTTAGTGACAGACTATAAAGAAACGCACTTGATATCGGGTCAGTTGTGAAAGTCGCTTGCCTCGGTACGATACAGTAGAATGATGTTGAAGCTGCTGTTTGGTTAGTGCAGAAAAGCTTGCTTATGAAATAAAACACTTCATCTAAACAAAACCCATTACAACATTTGTAGATTTGGAGATTACTAATCAAAGGCTCCACCTTCGAAACTTGAAACCGCGACCTTGACGGTTTAAGACAGCTCGCTGATTAGTACCTCGCTTACGGACTCGGCACCAAGGTCGCATCCAGCTGACTTTCATAAATTTTATGAACTATGCTTTTGTACAAGCCGAAATATTTGCCCTCGAAGGCTCAGCTATGATGTTATACCCAGGTCCACTTTTCGCGTCAAACGACGAAGACTTGTGCGCCTCAGAGGTTTACATTCATAAGCATTGAAGGTTATTTATTGTACATATTTGTAAACATTTCGACTCTCAAGGTTAACCTGCTTTTCTTTACTAATAAGGGTTTTGATGAAATTCTGCTGGGTTCATCACAGTAGTTTAGGTGCCAGAGAGTTCAGCTACCAACCCAGAAAAGCACCAAATGGCCGTTTAGTCATGGGGAATTCCTCTGTAATGCACATCTCTGGTTTCATCGGGAACCGAACCTGTGACCTGTCGACACTATCGATTTGCTCCACTGGCTAGCCAGTTATGTCAGTAAGCCGTGAGCAAAAGCGCGGTGCAGGTAACGAGTTGTAGGCTAACTACAAGGTAGCAATCGGTGCACTAATGCGTTTCCTAGTAGGTTGTGTTGTTTCGGCCAGCTTCCCGCAATGTGTAAAAGTAGACCATAGCCACAAGAATGGAACGGACATTTTCGAACTAACCGTGCGTATAGCCTATGTTTATGTGCAGCAGTGATAATGCTAACCGTTTCCTGAGTTAATCCATTCAGCATTGTTCCGTCCCTATGCTCAAATGTTGCATACCAACATTAACAATTTGAATGTGGCGTCCAAACCTGATAACCAAGAACCATAAAGAACATATACCGTGTCAGGTGATAAAGTTCCACAACAGTTATCTCATCTGGTCAAGATAAAATATGTCGAACCTGGTACCATTGGATACCGGATCACGACGGACAACACTTTTAGCATCGGTTACTGTTTCGTTGGATGGTTCGTTTTGAAGCACAATAGCGATCTGGATCGCAGTTAACTTTGAAATGAACCTCGTTCAACTCGGTCACTGAACCAGTAACCAAAACAGACTGATTCTAAGTTGTACCCACTCGCTCCGCGTTTTACGCTTGGCATATATAACTGATGAGATTAAATACTTTCAAAACTGATCGTGGAATTTAGTGTTTTCGGAACGTAGACAAAAGGAAATCTGGTGTTTTCCGTCCGAAAACACTGCACTCCATGTCGTGTTTCCATCTTAATTGATTGCATCTGATAGAGATGGCAGGCATCGAATCCGAGGCCATTGGGATGTTAGTTTTGACCGATACTCCTAAGCTAGCGGATCACGAGGAGCAACGTTTGTCACGAAGATTAATGACTGATTGGCGGGTCATTTTGAAGTAGACGTTGCGTGAATAGGTTAGAGCTCTATTCGCACTACTGGGACGGCAACTGAAAGTCTCGGTAGCTTAGGGTTAGAACAATGTGAACAACGAACAATGATTTATAATTGGCAAAAGGCATAGCGTGACTAGTCCCGTAGAATGGCCGGGATATGGATTATTAAATGATTTGAGATTATTTACCGAGTTATTCACATGCAAGCATGCTGGTCCGGTTACTGATACCTAACGATGAGACCTGGTGAGCACACTGATTGCGTTACTTCGTCTTTCGATGCAAACAGACTATGTCGCATAATTTAAATGGGATTGAGTATGGTCCGATCGTTATTCTAAACTGTTAATGTGGGGGCGAAGGAAGAGCGTTCCACGGTCCGGATACTTGAAGAGAGTAAAAGTTTTGTCGGCAATCAAGTCGACTGTGATGTGTGGTCCGTTTGAGCTATGGGTCTTTTAGGTTAGTATGATAACCGGCTTGCAACAGATCGCGACAGGTGTGATTGGGCTTAGTCAGTGTTTGGTAAGCCGTAAATGGTCTCCTCGCAGGCGTCGGTATTCACCGCTGTTCTAATAACCTAGGGCTTGCAGTATGCGTTGGTAGGAGAGTTGAAACAGTCAACGTTGTGGAGCTTCGAGCGCAACAACATGGTATTTGCGCCTAGGTCGCCAGGCATACATCTCCAAAGGCCACGCGTTCAAATTCCTGCCACCTCCATCTGATGATATCAAATAAATTTGAACTTGGTAGTGGGGTACGAATTTTTTGACGGGTAACTCCTAGTATACATTCGATCTTCCCATCTTTTCTTTGTCCAGAAAACAAGTAAATATCATGCCTTTTCCCCAGCACTTTACTGCACATCCTGTGAATCACCAGAGTATTTAGTAAATCTCGCCATCACACCGTCGAGTAGAACACATCACGAAGTGGCGGCGGTGACGTTTGATTACCACGCATAAGAAGCACTAAATACAACGACACTGTGCATTATATTTTCACTCAAGTATTTATTCCGAAGTCCGTAATCCTTTGGAATATGTAAGACATTGGCTTATCTAGTTGTCACATATCACTGGCTCATGGTAGCTTACCGATTACGTAGTGTACAGTAAACAGAATAAACTGGAGTGCTCATCTTGGTTGGTCAAAAAAAGCTTAAAAATCACCGATAAAAGTCAGTAAACGCTTGAGGCTCTTGCGCTGAACAGGTGGCCTGACTGACAACGCCATCTTCCTGCAATTTCTCAGCGAGTACATGGAGTCTTCCAGATCCGGCACTTTGTCCAACAAAGGAACTCGCTGCTTTGGAGGCTCCACAATGAACAGCAACTAAAAATATTGATGGCTTGTTTCATCTCCCTTACTAACTTAGTCTCAAAGCTCTGGGGATCTACAGTGGACAAGATCCTCGTCTGATAGTTGTTGAACGAGAATGATCCTCGAGTACCCCAAACACGCAGGCCGCTCTTATTAAAACTCAGCTACATAACCTGAAATGTCAGCGCTTGAAGTTTGCTACACGGTATTATATCGGGCTGGAATGCCGCCGGAACTTTTCTGTTCTCTTATGTGTCAGTAGCGCAGAGCTCTCCCAATTTCTGTTATTTGCGCTCCTACGGAAAATGAACGCAAAGTTCATCTACACGACATAATTTAACCAAGTTATTCGACCGCTACATAGCATAGACAGATTGTGTGCGTATTTGACTCTTACGGTGAGTCCATCGATACGCGTTGTTTTTTCGACACGAATTCTCACTCACCTTGGATTTTGGCCCACGCCACGCGTTCGGGACTGGCTCCAGCGACGCAGGAAGACTTCTGTAAGTATACCTCCTTTGCATCATGATCCGTTTGATGTCGGCTTTGGTAGTAAGCTCGAATATCCAGCAACTGCATATCGTTTTGCCAAACCCAAGCTCGTATGGTGCCCTCATTGGAAGGAGAAAGAACTGGACACGTGAGAAATAGAATATGGAAATGTCAAGAGAAAGGGAATTACGTATTCTCTTTGTTGATTACTTTCACAGATGATACATTGAGGAGCAAGTGTGCAAACGTGCGCACTCCGGTTGAATGGGAAACTTGCAAACAGCGTGGGAAACATTAATGCAAATAAAACATCGTGCAATGGTTCGTCTGTTTGGCATAATGTGCAGTGCCGGCGCGTTAATTGATGAGAAGACTCAGGGAAAACGACCGAAGTCAACTGCACCAAAGTGTGCAGAAAAAGTGGGGGAAATTCCAACGCAAATCTTTAATTAGTTCTTCTACCAGTGGGGATGAAGGAATCCATAAAACACCTGAGTGCCCTGACGGACCATAGATGGTTTATGCTGCAATCTCGTGGCTCGTTGATTTCTTATGCTCACTGCAGACCTAAAAGTCTGTACGTCATTCACGTAGCTTCGCGTAATGATAATACACTATCAAGCGAATCCCCGGAGACACAATGTGCACCAAGAAGCCATTTACGAATGTTACGATTAACAGAGGGATTACAAGCCACTACCTTCTGGTATGAAGGCTGCACGCAAAATAACCCAAACCATAAATGTTTCCGTGACTGAATCAATTTTATGTCTAGCAGGGAGGTGAATATTGTCACCAATACTTTCACGGTAACGATAAACAGGCTCCTGCATCTAGTAAGTGAGATACCGATGTCCGGCTAGCGGATACCATGCTGAAATTTACACCTAGGGCAGTCAGGCCTCTAAGGATGAAAGGGGGGAGTTAGGTAGTGGGTGAAACGTTTGTAGTCACCAAATCACTTATCGTGTGGAATCATGAGACTAGAATGTGCCATCCAAATTTCGTTCCGTGTTTCGCCGCCCATATCGCGTAATACGACGAAACTGAAGTGCTGTTTTAATAGCCGAATGAACTGTGTATTACATGCAATTTGCTGCAAGTACGCCACACCATCTGATCCGTACCTTCAAGTCAAACATCAGGTCCGTCTCAAGAAATATCACATACAGTTCTGTGTAAAATATGCAAGTTGACGAAAGCCTTTTAAGACCTGAATCACGGAACATGGGGTTTTTCGCCAATCTCTTTGGCCATTCAGATTCTGATGAGTAAATTATTATCAAACGAAGCTCTGCGTATTATTGTGATAGTTAACGGGACCGCAGCAATGACCGCAGGCTGAACTCGAACTTGCTGGCATCCGTAGCTGCAAATCGACCCAAACTGAGTGTGTCGGTTACATAAATAGCAAAATTTATTCAGAAAAATCAAGAACAATGCGCAAGTGGATGCCGCGAGGGATACATCCGGAGGAAATAAGTGTGGGAATCTCGTTGGTCATGAGATATAAAATGACCCAATCATTTGTTGAATGACAAAATTTTGATCGAGGCTCAGAATTCGCCTTTGATTCTCTGAAGACTATCACGACACATATCGTATATCAGTCGAAATAGTGGTGATTACTGGCTAAACAATGTGTTCATAATAGAGTCCATGCGAGTGAAGAATCTGAATTCGGTTTAGATGCATTTTACACATAACTCAACTGTTAACTGTGGATTCTGCTGGAGGATAGAGGCTAGGATTCTTCTTTAATTTTAGGTATTTAATGTACGATGATGTATTAAGATAAGAAGGAAACCAGTTTAAAAGAGCGGTAGACCAATAATGCTAAAACATGACTTGTTAAGTTTCACATTAAACAATAGAGGTGCTATTCAGTTCATTTAAACAAACGTGATCCGAGTGCCGAAGTGTGTTGAGTGCAGTTGTCACGGTTCTCGTGACCACGATAAAAACAAATAACAATAACTAGAGCGATGAGGTGAAATGGGAACGAATACGAAGAAAAGGAAAAATTGACGTAAAATATTAATCGGAGAGGAAAATAAACTGTTATCTGCAAGGAACGGAATGCAGAAACACCACTGACTGCACCACTTTGCCAAGGGCTCTAAGGGTATCCGATCACTGATGCGGATCATCACAAAGTGTTCCATGCACGAAGACGATACCTAACAGCCTGACCGAATATCATAAGTCAATTTTGCCATGCTTTTATTTCACTCCATCGACTGGCTACCGCTTGCTTTTGCAAAACTTGATGCAGCCAACGTGCATAACGTATGCTGAAGACGTCGGTGAAGTCATTCGTGGGAATTGAGCTAGTAAACTTAAGCGGTGGAGCTAAGCAAACGCAGTCGAATGAGGCCTCAGAAGCTTTCTTGCCAAAAACCAACTGGTAGAGTTCAGGGCTGCTCAGATGGCGTTTCCATCAGATGTGAGCATCGGTAGTCGAACACGGTCAATGTAAATGCAAATGGCTTGATGCAGGGCCGTGACCTAATAAAGTTTCTTCGTTCGGTAATGAAACATTTGCAGCCCAGTTGTCAAAACGACAAAGGTAGGAACCGTTGAAGTGATCTAACTCTATCTTAACAAAGTGTTTGATATGGTAAGTCGTGAGGTCCACCTGCCCTAGTTGCAAGTGGAAGTATCGGTGGCACACCGCAACAGCGGACCCTCGTATTTCTTGTTGGACGGAGTTGGAGGGTAAATGTGGTGTTCATTTATGTGGTTTGTATCCCACTACTAGTGGCATACGCCAAGGCACAATGTTGGGGCCTCCTTTTCCTAATCTCCACATCAGCCATCTACCTCAGCTTCTTTGCATGCCATGAACCCCGTTGGCAAACCATCTCAAAATTCGGAGAATAATTGATGCGCCCGACGGCTGGGGCTTCCTTCAACAAGACTTCCAATGCCACTCCAAATGGTGTGCAGAAGTGCGCCTCCCGATAAACCCACCCAAGTGGGTATTTATGAGCCTGGGGAAGGGCGGAGACGGCCAAACATACACTCTCTAAGCAAACTGCTACATTCCATACCGTCCGTGCAGGAACTAGGCGTACTTTTGCACTGCGAGTTAAAGCCCGTGCACAACACGGATAGACTATATCGTAAAGGACTAATCATGCTTTGGGCACACAAACGCGGATTCTCGTCTACCGTAGGGCCAATGCTAGATGACGACTCAACAGCTTATTGCCCAACCACTAGGAAGAGGCGCAGAAGATCGAACGGGCCAGACATGTCGGTGCCAGGCTCAATACTAGTTAACGAGGATTGCTGTATGAAGACCAGCGAGAGACTAGTACCGTATACTCTGTTCCAGCATGGATTGCGAGTCGACTTTAACATGAAGTACTTCATTCCGCATGTTGAGGCCGCTGCTCCACTTGTCAGCTTGATGCGGCCCGCGCGGGCATCGGCACAAGCTTGTGTTGCAGGATCTGACGCCAGTTCCTCATCCTGTTCGCTTCGAACGGAGAGTGGCAAATACTAAGAACAGTCTACGGTAGCACATAGTGAAAATAAACTCCATGTGACAAATCAAAACACCTTGTGAGTATTTTATTACAACACTATTCGACGCAATGAATGAGTAACTACTAACAATGACATCGCACATTTCTGAGTCCTGTGACACAGTGAGTCCGACATTTTTCCAATGTTACATTAGAACTTGAAGGACGGATAAGGTATCAACAGTTTAGTAGATAGATTTTATGACCTTTTGGCTATATTCCGATGGAGTGGTCCAGATTTAATTTGCTACTTGCTCCGCAATACAGCAGCCAGTACTCGATATCCCTTGTTCACCCAACCCGGGTTACACTCCCCTCCAACCACCATCTAATTTCGTAGCGTAATATAATTTTACATAATGATTTTTCTTTCTTTTGCTTAGTAGCCGGCTGGCAGCTTACCGGAACGATGCATATTCGTTGCTGGTAGCTCAGCTGGCATGCAACTTGTATTTATTTTCCTTTTCCTTTATGTATTGCGGCACAGTAGCTGAGGTGCTCCCACCTCTATCTAATGTGTATAATGATGAATGATGACAACCTGGGTTATCAGTATTCCCAGGTAACCTGACTGGGCAGGTGTACAGAGCGGAACGTCTAAAACTCGACGCAAAAATGAATCGCCACCGCCGGAATGCAGGGGTAGGCAGTCAGACAGTCGGAAATCACCGCATGAATGGCCACCATCTAACGTGACAATGTCACCCGGCTTTTCAAGCATGTTACATCGAAAATACAATGATTATAAAGGTATACCAATGATCATAAACGGACAGAATCGGGAGCGCGGTTGGCGTTCTTGCTATGGTTGAACGGGCAAAAATGAGACTTAGGGTACAGGGTAGCTGCAGGAATTTCGACTATTGTTTCCAGACACATTGAACCGGTTGAATTCGCCTACTCGGGATACTTTCGATAAGACGCATGCGGCACGGATAAGCGCGATGTGGCACATTTAAAAACATCGAAGTCATACTTCGTGTAGCAATGCATATGCGACTACAGAGCTTGTCCCATGGGTGAAACCGAGAGGATATGGTCTCACTTCGGCAACCCTTCTCATGATATACTCATGTGCCGTTGTGCTACCCATACGCGTTTTATTCTATCGCATGTATCATTTTGAGGATACCCGAGGGTTGTCCATTCCAAGCTTATAAGGTGCAGAAATTCTGCATTGGCGGAAGCCATCATGATTCGTCTCAACAACACTCCTTTATGTGCGCATAAACAATTTATCAAAGCCTTGGCTCTACGATGGCTAGCTGTCGCACGGATAGCTGCCGTTTGAACGACTCACACCAATTATGGGCATTTTGACACCTCAATTTTCTAGCTACTCAATTCACCCTTTCTTATCTTAACTATGTAGATGTGTTATATTTGGCCTGACGACGAATCACCGAAAACAAGCTTGTTTGCCAAACCGTCTTTTCAAGATACTCGTAGTATTGGTGTGTTGGATCCCATCGATTTTCCTTGACACTCTGGTCGGGTAATCGGAGGGTAAGTGAGCAAGTCGTACTCTGGCATTTATCACATGACGGAGAAGAAAGGGTGAGTCGCGACCTCTTTAGCCCAATTACAAAATCTGCGTTTGAGCGCCCAAAGCATGTGCAGACAGTTAGGATACAATCTGCTCCTGTTGTCCACCCGCCTAAGTCCCTCACCGGAGGTGCGGAATGTGGTGGTTGTTCGTCGAGCATGTGGATTCCGCCGTCAGCAACCTTCACCAGAATCATGAATACGGAATTGCTTGGGATGGTCTGTAGCGTGACTCATGCAAATTACATGAGGAGAAAATTGAGGTCTTGCTTCATTAGGCCGCAGGCGTCTTAGCTGCTAGTCACACGCCAAATCTTCAGGTTGTCCGCGAACATGGCACACGACGACCGAAGAAGTTATGGAACATCGTTGATGTGGATCAGAAATAGCAGGGGTTACTCGCGCCTTCATCCTTCAGCCACTCGGACCAAACTGTGCCCTGATGATCAACATAAAACCCTTTAGGAAAAGCGCATATGGCACATTTATAGCGCAAAAATGAATAATACATTGTTTCGGGCTGTCATCAACTGTATATGAAAATCATATTTATATTAGGTAGAACTAGGGGAAGTCTGTGTGAAATCCGCCGAAGTCAAATAACCCTTTATCCGCCATTCCGTTCATACCTATTAATGTTACAATAAGAGTTTACTCTGTTAGAACTGGTAATGATTGTTTAGTTCAAAACTCCGGGTATAACCGTTTGTTGAACACAATGCCCAACCGCATCCCCAAATGAGATAAAAGTTCGAGCAAGGCTAGCTCTTCTGATTCGACGCATCGCTTCACATTGATAATTGCATCAAACAATCCTCGATTCGTAGGTATGCTACAAGCTACCCGTGACGCCTGTGTCCGGTTGAATGTACGCATCAGAAATTCGTGAGGTTATGGTTACATCAGTGCTTTGTACCGAGATATAGCCACATAGTACGAAAAAGCCATCACCAGTAAAGCAAAGAAGAGGAGGTTGGTCCAGTTGAAGACCACAATGCGTTCAGCGGACAGTTAGAGTCAGTGCGTTCACGTGGGCTAGAGCGCGTCATTGTGAACTCTTGACAGTCGTGAGAAGAGCCAGTGGCAAGGATTTCCCTACACCACATCATAAGCAACACTGTTACACAGATACCTCAATACCACACGTGTTGAAACGGACAGTACGATTAGTAAGCGAAACAGGTAAATCACTGGTGCTATTTGTGAGCCATGTCCTCACCATAAACAAAATGGCATAGGCAGTCCACCGTTGCGCAGTGCAGACGCTTCGCTGCCGCGCGAGGGCTAAGGATAATGTGAGGGTCGCCCGGTCTGACAGGTCTGAAGAAGAATCACTGAGAACAATTTCTAACCTCCGGTCATTTGTGCGTGATACTTAAGTATGGATTTTCAACTGACTGGTTATTCGAGTATAAGGTATTTTCCCTTAAACCTCTGAATTCTTTGTAACTAGTGACCGAGTGTCGATAATACAAGCCCGAAGTAACGTGATTTATTCAGTCCAGGTTGTTGTTCAAACGAATCAAGCTAGATATCACCGCTTGGTACTCTTCTGAATACGACAACTTTGATGACAGATTGGCATCACTGTACACGAGCAATATTCCATAGACTACCGTGGTTGTTGAAAGGATCTGTTTTTACCAGACGCAATCTAAGTTGAGAAGTTGCGAAGGAGGTTCAACAGTGCTTCCAACCCAACTTAGAAAACTCGACATGGCATGAGAGTTGGAAACTGTTTAAACCACTGTGACCCCACATCCGCTCTAATGTCACGTTATTCACTCGGGTCGTGAATGAACGAAACAACTTCCTGAATACGCTGTAAGCGTCTAGCATGAGAGGAATGTTCTAAGCTGCGGTTAGATAAGCTCATGCTAAGCACGCTTTGATTCCGCTGTTTTTGCTTCGGTTTTAACGATCCATAAGGGAACACAGTTTAGCAACGACACGCATTATCCAGTCAATAAATAGAAGGTGGTCGAGCTGACAGGGATTTTCCATTCTTCTCTATTCAACGCTAGGAATTCCGAGTCCAAAAATGTGAAGCTGCCTGTGCTCCTCATCATACAGAGCCCCAGTTTCACTGCTAAGGAGGAGAGCGGCCACCATAGTGGTATTGCAGATCTACATAGGTATTCATCTTATTGACAATTTACGAAAAAACATCCACAATCACACACAATCACACACGTCAAACAAGACAGGGGAATTGGGCAACTGCCTCGAGCTTCTTGTCGTCAGTGATCGAATAGCCAGTGAGTGTTGGTGTCGTGGCAGCAGCACACTGCACCCTACACGTACGAGGCCCATGGTGAATGGCGGAATACTTCAACTATAGTCTCACCAGAACGGATTACATTGTCTTGAGAAAGTCAAAAGGTATTACGTTATTTTCCGGAAAATACAATTCAATCTGTTTCCATCCGGACCGAATTTAAGTCTCTGAACAATGACATTCCACAACAGAAACCCTCACAGTAGTGTTAGCTGCAAAATCGTGTTTACTGCTTGTTATCGGATAGATATTCGATAATTCACCGTAGAAAAATGTAAAGCCCACTGCATTCGTGTGCGAGTGACTTAAAACCGCTTCGATATTCCATGCGAATACCACACAAGACAGATTTTATAAAGATAACATTGCGATTAACTGGGCCTAATGAGCTGATGAAATATAGGAACATTATTTTGCTCGGCTTGCGATACGCGTGTCATTGTTCTACAGCACCTGCGACATAATGAAGAAAAATATGATCTATCCGTTTCCGTCCCGATTGGAAAACATACCCCAATCCTCCAGTTTTACATTACAACAGACGAGATACGCCAGTAACTTGGTCACTGTCAGCGTCAAACGTTTATTGCCTGCATTGTACAAAAGATGGTGATGGAGAGACGTGGAAGACTCAGCACCGTGACAACTGTCACCAGCCTCACCCCAGCTAATGTGCGTTAGAAACCGTTGTGGAGACAGACGTACATGGACAAGAATCTCACCCCCAACCGACTTTTTCATGCTGTGCCACTGCTCAGCGGCCGCACCGCACCAACTTTTCAGCGTCAGCAACTAACTCACATGGCGGTCGGCGGAGCAACCAGACAAGTGATCTTAACCGTACAAGTATTCCAGGTAGTTTATGGTGTTGTTTTTTTTTGTTTAAACCAATCGGCCAACCTACGCACGGTGGTCTAACCACCTAGATGTGGTGCGTTTCGGTGGCCGGCATCCGTGGAGCAAGTATGGCTTTGTTGAAGCTTGTCCGTACGTTATGTGTGTCTGTGATTTATCATCATGGCCGAACCGGAACAGTGTGTGTGTGTCTTGCTTTGATGGGTAACCTAGTGCTTCCTTACCTACATGTGCAGTCAGCTTTCATCAATTTTATGCGCTGACGTTTTCAATATGTGCATCTGAGGTTATCAGAATACCACATACGGAGTAAAATGAATATTTGACGTAGCCATTATTTAGTCTGTTAAGCACGCCTTTGAAATAAACACTGCACCAGTCTGCGATATGGGCTATTAATGGCACTACTGTTGACGATGGAAAGACGCATGTCATTCCAGCTGTCCTATTATTGGAAGACTGTGAAATACCGGACAGTGACCTCTCAGTGACAACACAGATCCGACTGGGCTCGGTGTGAGCGTTGATGTTGCGACTTTTGTCAATGATTTCAGAAGATTGCTAGTCGTTGTTGGGGAGAACGATTTGCACGGTCCTCGGGAGCTTGCAAGATCCTGGTAATCGTTCGACAGCGCAGTCCCCTATGTGTGTGTACATCTGATGTTCACACGATTCATATGGGGATATTGGGAAAGGGATTCAGACACCGATTTGGTAAGAGTTGAAGGAAATGTGAGAACTAAGCGTGCAGGAGATGGACTACTTGGCTGTAGTTGAGTAGAAAATACGATTCATTTTAACGACAGCCATCAACAGAAAACGCTATACATCGCTTCAACAAGCTTCAAAAGAAGACGATAGAAACGAGCTGGAAGAGGACTGGCTGTTTGATGTCTAGCTAGAAAGGAAAGGCGTCAGCGCAAATTCATTGAGGATGATGAGCACTATTCAGCATCCACTCACCGATAGTTCGCAGCTGGTCCCTTACCACGCGGTGTGGCATAGCGTCATCGGTGGTCTTCCACTCGATCCATGTTGGTTCCCCGTCCACGCAGTCTGGCCAAGCGTCTTGCAGCTCCATTCGATAGGCCGGGATTGGCCAAGCATAAGTGGCACCCATTGTCCTGGGAAAAGCCTGCAGTTGAACAGTTTTTGCATACTGAATGGAAGACAAATAGAGAAATGAAAATCGTCGGAAAACGATGCTCCCGCGCATAGTCTACATGACACGTAGGGTAATCGATTGATGATAAGTTGGGTTGCAGAGCCAAAGTTCTATCATGTGAGGCTGTGCTGGGGTTCTCTTGCATCCTTGCTAAATGTTGCCTATTGCTACTTAGCCTTCACAGTTCAGCTTGGAATTCTCAAACGATCTCACGGTAGGACATCTAAAGCTTCGGCTTTTTTATCTGAAACATACCACTGACCATGGAATAAACTATCAAATGAGATGGTGCGTTATTTACTATTTGGTACCCTGGCCACTAGAATTGCTGTCAACTCCATAAATGCGCTGCAGTCTTGATAACTGATGAGCAAGAAGTGGGCGGCGTGCTGCTGTTTCCAATGGGGGCACATAAAAAGCGCACCACTGAAGAACCTCAAATGGATTAAACTGCCCTCCAGTGTTTTCCTTAATTTATGGCGGCTATTTCGGTATGGAAGTAAGGCTCGAGACTACAGTGGTTATCGTAATTGGCAAGGTAAACCACGGTTACAGGGAATGTTGTTGTGAATGCTTGTAAAAAGTCACTAAGTTGCAGGAAAGTGTTCAGGAGAGATAAAATGCTTGGGCTGCAATTCATTTCAGCTATTCTCCGCAGATGACAATCAAAGCTAAAGAACCAATCGGTAGGTGTCTACCATTTTGGTCTGTTAACAAATATATATATATATATATATATATATATATATATATATATATATCGATTGTGCCCCATGCTGAGGCTGATGTTGAATTCATTATGGTTCTTCACCGCAGTTCGGCCAAACCAACTTACACTTAAACTAGGTCTTTTTAAGCTGGACAAATTTCATTCCACTTTATTTGGTTTGTTCTGCTTACCTGAATAATGTTCTATTAACTGGCCACGTTGCTTACGCTAATTGCGCTTATCTTCGGTGATTTTGTTGCGTTTGTAGCATTTTTGAGTAACTTGTGGATATTTCTTACTTATTGCGGATTCGTTGCTAACCAACTTACTTCGCATGCTAATTTAGGGAAGAGTTATGTCTGCATAGCCGTATTCCTTAACAGATATGTTTTACTTGATAATGTCATTTGAAGTGATTAGCTGTTATTTGATATCCCCGGTGTGGCTGCCCTTAATGTGCACGATGACAAGGTGCTTACTTGTCTATTACCCACTACCTCATCCATACTGGCTCCAGGAGACAGTTGGTCGTTACTGGAGGGGACGGGGTGCACAGTCCTTGTGGTCGTGCTAGGCTCGAAGAGTGGTTCCATGCACTCAGTGTGGAGCGGACTACGGTCCAGCCACCGCCTTGTGTGCGCTTGATTCCCCAAATACAGCGTGCTTGTGTTTGCCTGTGAAGGAGTGTGGGCCGGCTCCGTTGATGAAACGTGCCTCCCGGTCTTATTCCTTCGGGTTTACACTGGATATGGGGTATGTGGTTGGAGCTGTGGATGGTGTAGCGCAAGCCACCCATGGTCCCTCTGTAGGCGAAGGCGTCTTGTGGCTGGCCACAGTGACAGGCAAATCCGAAACCGGATGCCGCCAACCATATATATCGATTATGCAAACATTTTGTTTAGCATGTGTGTGAGTGGTGGGAGAAGTTTGCGCTTAAAACCAATACTGACTTTATACTCTCGAAATCAGAAGAGTGAAAATGTTGAATTTGAGGCGCAGAAAATGAAACGTGTTATGCCAATCCTTCCTGGTGAACAATGTGAGTTTGAACAATGGAACAATGGTTTATGATGGGTAGAAAAAGCATGGGTGTGTTAGTAAGGGAAGGAATTGTATCTTGGAATACTACAAAAGTAGACGAAATAAAATGCACAACGATGAGGCGTTAGTGAAATGGTACACAAAGGCAGAGTTGTGAAATGTGATGTTACCATGCAAAACGGAATAACAAGTTGTTATGGTTATGGTTTACGGCAAATAGCAGTTGGAATGCTAGCCCGTCCGCACGAGTTTACGTTCGTTACATTGGGTTACCATATCAAATAAGCTAATTCACCTGATTATATGCAGAGTATCCGTTTCAGAAACAAAGTGTGTAAGGGGCCCAGTACCATATCCAAGGGTTTTTTGACAATACCTAAGGTGGAGTGGCGAGACCTAAATGATCGAAACGGTCGTCTAGCGCTTTTCAGGGTATGTGGATGAGTATCTGATTTGGAAGCTACCACAAAAATACCCCTAAAAAGGAATAAGTCCTTTTACTGATTGATATAATTCACATTGGTGTGTACATGATAAACATCTTAGCCGACACAGTTGTAGTGCGATGAAAGTAATGCGTTTCAACTACATACATATGTGTGGTCCATCTTCGTCGCTGCCGAAAATGATACGTAGGTTTGGAGCCCATGTTCTGCAAACAGTCACCCAAGAGTGCTAGCTAGGTGTCTTAAGTTAGGCTGGTCTGGGTTGTTCACAGCAATCTGAGAATGCGTCGAAACTTGGAACCAACACTTTGGCATGCCTTGGAGCATACTCAGGCGGATCTATCCGTCTGACTGTTTACAATCCAGGCCTGGCAACCCTAACACATGCAAGACCCCGCAGCACTTGGGACTACACAGCGAAGAGCCACCAAACACGTAGAAGGGTTAACCCATCTTCCACATAAACTTAGAAAGAAGAGTCTGAGGTTGCACAATGGTTAGTATCGGAGCCAAGGCGACGAACTAATAATAGCCTAGCAGATTTTGAGGAATCCCAACCAAGTCTGCTGCCACTTGCTGCAAGTCAATGACAACACGCATTTGAGATGTCTACTAGTTCAAGTTGGCCACACTGTACCGTGGGATAAATGTCGTCAAAATGGTTTCTCTCTTCTTGTCTGCCATTAATGAAACTCCATTCCAAATTGCGTTGTATCTGTCCCCACTTTATCTGTGTTTAAGAAATGTCTTAACATTACCCTCACCTACCTACATTACGAGATATACCCTACGTATATCGACAGCTGATATAATGTGGCGGAAATTACACCATCAGCATTGACCTACACAATCGGGTTTAGCTGTCTTCAGTGTGCCTCTGTGTAAACACAGTGGTGAACCTACCAGAACGATTTGCATTTTATCACTCTGTTTTCTTTCTATCAATTTGTGGTTCACATTCTCGTCATCCTACAAAAATTGTCAGGCATTTCTTTTTTATCTATAATATACCATTGCTTATCTCCATTGGAAGCTGTTTGATTTCGATATCAGAGCCTTTACGTTTCATCGATCTACACTCGATTCCAAGAAAGCTGAACAAGGGGAAACCGTTTCGACTGGTCACTTTTGCTCTCGTACTTGAGCCATTGTAACTGTAAAGTCCAAAAATGAACTTTGATGTATCCCCAAACTGGATTGCTTACATGAGGACACGGTATCTTTTTCCCTGATTATGTTGCACATTTACACTGCTTATTTGTGTTTTACAAGCGGTTAACACATCGCATATTTATTTCTTACACTCCATCACTGACACATCCTTGAGGTTTCAAGGTCCTTCTTATTATTATGTTACTGTGACTGCCCAAATACTCGATCCGCTCCACGCTGGACAGTTTCTGCCCACTTGCATTACGATTGCGAAACCTATTCGTAAGTCATGTGTTGTATTTATTATGCCTTATAGAACCACGGTTACAGGATAAAACGTTTTATTCTTCTGCCCAGACCGTGCGTTAAGTCTAGGTTTATCTGTTCGTAGTTTCTAGTTTAGTTTTCGTACGACGTACTTAGTTTAGGCTTAGTGACGTTGGTACATTAACCATGGCGTGGAAGTACAAGAATATATTGATAATATACTTAAAACAGTTAATAGAAAGGATGGAGAAAAAAATGTAGTTTATGTGAACACTTTTGTCTTTCCACCAGAAAGCTATCACCAGGACCAATATGGTATACAGTGAAACTTGTCTAAGACGACCACTCAAGGAACCGAGAAAAAGTAATTGCCTTGGACGGCTGGTCGCCATAGACAGGTTCATGCATAACAACAATACTCCTAGGAGAAAATGTTGGGGATGTTATCGGATAGTCGCTAGAGACAGATGGTCGCTATAGCAGGTTGGACAATATGAATAAACCTGTAACAACACTGGTCACCATGGTCACACGTCTGACGGACAGCAAGGATGTGAGATGGCTGCACATGGTACTTACTTCACCTCCCATAGAGGTAAACTGGCCATTTTCTAGAAATGTCGCGTTCAAATCCAATTTGTCAGTCAAACTGTGACCGCTGATAACCAGTTTGAAAAAGCTGACTGGTGGGTCGTGCGGGATCTCCAAAAAACCAAGTATGGCATCTATCGGTTGATCTTCAACGACTGCTGTGTAATTCCTTTGAAAGACTAAATCTGAAAATGATTGGCAAGCGGAAGCACGTTGATGAACATTTTTGACGTAACTGTGCAAGTTGCCAGAACGTGCTGTACACCTGTCTGTGCCAATGATAAAGTGCATACAACTTCTCTTAAGACTTACATGGAAATGACACCTCTCAAGTAGCTTTGACTCATTTAATTACAGATTTCACAAGTGGTTACTTCGTTTATGCATGTACTTACACAGAATATTTGTATGACTGTTAATTTGCTGGTTACTGGTATTGTCGTAAGGCGGATGCGTCTACTAGTTGAGAAAACCACCTGGGTTAAAATGAACCTCTGATGAACTTAACTAGCCAGTGATACGCGATTGCATAAAATAGCTAGTGTGCGTTTTAAATGCAGTCGGTGGGTTCTCGAATGAACGGGTCCGACTACCACGTGTTCCATGGAGTTAGTCGTGTCAGAAGTTGTAAAGAGTAAATCAAATATTCTTGGTCCGGCCGAAATGTAAGTAAACTGAATAAAAATGAAGATCATTGTATAAAGTAGTATATTCTGGAAATATCAGCGATAGATCCCAAGTTTCTATCTTGCGAGTAGTGATATATGGAACTAACCAGGAGCGCACAACTCAGAAAAATAAATAACTTTGAAAGCCGAGCTGTGATCAAGTGCCTACAAAAAAGGGCATGACGTCAAAGGTAATCCAATCGGATATAGCTGAGGTTTGGTGAGGACTCCCCTTTATATTCCACCGTTACGTAGTAGGCTGCAACTTAAAAGATCTTCGACATATGCTTGTCATTTGAAAGACATTCATTAAATGCTATTGAATGGCAGATTAACTGTTTCTCAGATAGCTATGATTATTGGCATAGTTATGGCTGTGCAGGCCGTTTTAACAAATAGCTTTGGCATGGGAAATCGGACTTCCAAATTTGTGCCAGGAATATTGCCACTCGATCAGAAAGTGAACAGGTTCAAAAATTCTAGGCAACTTTTTTTCCCGTTTCGAGATAGATCCCGATAGTATTTTGAAAGATTTGTTATCCAAAATGTAACTCGGCTTCATCACTTTTAACAACTCAAAGATACAAAGTAAACAATGAAAGCATAGGGGTTCTCAACCCCAGTAAAATATTTCGTCAAGTGGTGTCCGCGCGAAAGGTGACGGCCCGTGTCTTCTGGGACACAAAATGTTTATTCATGGTTGACTTGTTGCGCAGTGGTTACACCATCATAAACGAGTATTACGCTTCAGAGTTAGACCAAATGAAGTGATCAAGCAAAGAAATACGGGGAGGAAAGATCGCAGCAGTAGTTTGTCGGTTGCAGGATAACCTACATGTTTCCTCTTCTCATAAGCAGCTGCGTTTTTGCATTACTACCACACCCTGCTTATTCATCTGACCTGGCCCTGTAAAACTTTCGTCTGTTCCCTAAAAGGAAGTCTCACATCCTGGATCACTGATTTGCCAGTAATGATGCATTGATTAGATCTGCGGAGTCATTTTATACAGACAGTCTTCGAGCTTGTTCCACACTGGGTTAGCAATACTTGAACACCGCTGGGCAAAGTACATTCACATTAAGAGAGATTACGTTGAAAAGTGACGAAACGTGACTTGCGTAACACAGGACACATCTTGTTGATTAGGTCAATCAGAAAACTAGGTTAGCGAAAGTTTAGGTACCTCAATTTACTTTTACGACGGCTAACGCAACTACAAAGTGTGGGATTCCTAAGTAGGTAGGTCGATGTATTAAACCCAATTTTTTCTTTCCTTTCTCATATGAGTGAAAGTGCACCAAATGTTGTGCACGGTTGTTTGCCACTCGTCTGCTTATGGTTGATGACTACAATGGCTTTATCCCCTTTCACGTTTCTTCCTTTTCTATGTCCCCGTCACCTCGATTGCATCCCTGATCTGCGCCGGAAAAAGCTGAGAATGCTTGTGTTTTGAAAAAAATAACAGTAAAAGTCCCAAATGATGTTCCCAAAATGTAGTTATCATGTCCTTGCGTAAACCCCAAACATTGACAGCCTTGTACCAGTGAGTACATTGCACATGTGAACACGATCCATCCCTTTGTGAGCACAGCGTCTCGATACCACAAGAATACACCAGATTATTATTACTCTTATTCCCTCTATCTCAGGCCAGGAACTTTTGTTCCAGTTGTATCGATCTGTACGACGGTATAGCCTCAAAGCCCTCGGAATCTAAGGAAAGACGGGACGGCGAAGATCGGTACTTAAAGAGATAGTATGGTTTTCTATGACTATATGATGCGATATTGAGCAATCTGATGCTTCAACTCAATGCCATCCTATATCATCGGCCAGGTTTGAAGCGTATTCAGCAGAATTCCGGCATCGCAATTAGCCAAAAAGGTTGCATCGTAGCCTCATGGTGGGTTAGTAAAAATGCTACTCGCTGCCCCTTAAACTTCCAGTTCTATTCCGTGCGCGCGATAAGTTGTAAAGATCCAGTATATGTGAGCTACTCGCGAAAATACCGCAACTACATAGGCATGCAGAGAAATTGGTTAAAATATAGATGTAAACTCTACTGAAACAAAAGACTAGGTCACTTTGGCCATATTAGCAATGATGCAAGGCATTGGGAGAGATAGCTTTCAGAGAAAGAACAGATGTGACACGAAACTGTTGCGTTACTTAGCTGAAAATTCAGCCTATCTTAGTCTCAAATGCTATAGACATAGTGTCTAGTGAGGGGGGGGATCATGAAATCTGAGGTTAGCCACTCTCATCTGTAAAGGTAGTAACCTGTGTGGCAATGGAAGATAGATCGTACTCTATCCCAGTTAGCTTGCAAATAACGTAGCCAAGCTGCTATCCCCTATGGCTCAGTGGCTTAAACTGCTGGCTACTTGGCGTCAGCCACTAGCGGTCATGGGCTCGAAGCGCACTAGGGGACCGAGGGAATGCGCACCACTGACAAGCCACAATAGAGCGAAAAACGTCTGGTGCTTTTCCGGACTAGACTGTGCTACGTAGCTTGTGAGCAGCTGGGACAAATACATAAACACTACGAACGTCTTATTGCTCACCCGTGCGACAGTGTTCTTGCATTGAGAGAACAACAGGTACACAGCTTTTTCAAAAATGATGTCATCCAACAAATGATTGGAGAGAATTCACTCCAGCAGCTACTCATACCGACTCGGAACGGATGCACTGCAACAATCAACTCTCCAACGTTACTTGGGTGTCCTGGTTCAAGATGACTTGGGTTGCTCCAGGCAATTTAAAAAGGCCTCGAAGACCGGGAATCAACACGTCGGGCTGTTGAGGCGGGCGTTTGGACAAATAAACAGCTCCATATTTCGACAAATGCTCAGTGCGCATGTTCGCCCCCATGTCGAATATGCAATCCAAGCCTAGCATCCATGGCTGAAACACGACCTTAGTGCATTGGAGCAGCCACAACGCCGGGCATCTAAGAACGTAATTGGAATGCGCAATCTTTCCTACCAGGAGAGGCTGAGACGACTGGGATTGTTCAGTGGAAGCTATCGCAGACTACGAGGCGACCTGATTATGGCGTAATTGATTCTGCGAGACCCACACCATGTGTGCCGCCATTTACTGCAACTCAACAGCAATACAAACCTGAGGGGTCACTCATTAAAACTCGAAGAAAAATACAGTCGTCTGGAGTGCCGCAGAAATTTCTTTTCCATCCGTGTCTGTCACACGTGGAATGCTCTGCCAGAATCGGTCGTATCTGCACCAACATTTACAGTAATCAAAAGACGGTTGGACGATGCACTCATCCACTTACACTTTGTTACTTAACACTACGTCTCCATCCTACACCTGGAGTTTATAGTGGAATTATTTGTTGTTAACTGTGGATGCTGTGAATCTAAGAGGATCGCAGGACTGCAGCGAAACAAACGATAAGTCCTTATTTTCATATTTAAAGTATTAACTATTTTACTATCCTTATCATCATTATTGATATGTTGATATCCCCACCAACTATCCAACGGGACTTGTAAAGCAACGCTTCTTAAGCCATATAAATTCATTGTTCATTGTTCATAGCATGTTGAGTTGGCATGTATGGAGAAGATACTTGTGTGCGTTATATCATTGTTCAACCATATGGTAAGCTTATATCAGTATCACTCATTCATTGCGTTAACTGCTGGATGTAGTGCAGTGTTCATGTTTGAGGTGCTTTCGACAGTAGCCAGTTCTAGCCGTTCCATTTTGATTGTAATCGCGTTGATGAATTTAAGCATATTCCGAATTGGAATTCTGTCACAATTTTTCACAGGACAGAATTTTACGGTATAATTGTTCACGCATATCCAAATTGAAGCAACTGGCTTTTACATGCAATAAGAAGGTGCGATAAATAGTCAGTTTACTCCTATACAATGTCGGCGCCATTTTCAAATCCCGGCTCTCATGGGTGAGATATTCGTACTATGGATATGATGCTCTGCACTGTGCGATATTTATTGACAGACATTTTAAACTCGTCTAATTTGCAGCAGTTCCAAATGCTTTCGCCAGTTCGTCGGTGTTGGAGGTGAAAGCAAAATACAGGTATGCATCTGTAGCCGTTCATGACTGCAGACTTTCGTTCTACCATGGAGGTTCACCGATGTTTGTTTTAACGCAACATTGCGTCATTCCTATTGGCTATTTGAAGTAGCTGTTTTTGCCTTCAGATCGCAGGCATATTTTGACGCTATTACTCTCACCTTACGTCCTTTGTAGGCACTTGATTGGTTCCTCATTTATTCCGTTCTCATTGGCTTTAATTGACCGCATGCTTTCCGCACCCTGGTTGGCTTTCATGTTTATGCGTTATGCTATATAACGAACTGGTTTCCAAATGTAAAATGCCCTTGAATCTCTGTCCCTGATCGTTCGTGTTCTCACTAACACTAGTGGGTGGAAGCAGTCGCGGGGCTCCGACACAACAGTCGGTTGTACATTAGTCACCATACTTGGAGAGCACTAACTGTCTACAGTGAGTTGATAG